GTGCTGAATATGCCTGTCACTTGCAGAGGCTCGCCCCTATAAGGTCCGGGAGATGTATCGGGTGGTGCTCCCGGGCGTCCTGGACTGCCGCTGGTACCAGCCAAAGGATCCATTCGTTTGTCGTGCTTTCCTCAGGTTGGGACCTGAACAAGAGTTGTGACAAGGAATGAGAATTTTGACGTTTGTGCCTAACAATTTTACCAACGGTTGCATTGCGGGAAGGAAAAATGTCGGAAAGGCCTTTTGGGGTGATCCGGCACGAATGACGGCATCACAACCGCTGCTTCACAACCAGGCTTCGGTATACGTTTCTTTGATCCGGAAGTCCTAAAAGCTAAGCATCCGGCACACACGAAGGCGCACACGACTACTACACAAAAGACTTGAGAAGTGTCCTTAAATAAGCGTTTCGCAAAGCCATCGCACTAAAATGCAGCTGTCCCAGGGCTTCAAAGCGCTTTTGCGGCAGTCCGCGCTGGCCCAGCCGGCGCAGCAGCAGTTGGGTACATGTGCTGCGGCGGCTCGCAAAAACTCAATCAGCAGCAGCGCCACAAGCGGCAGTTCGCAAGAGGGGGAGTCAACGGAAGGCCAGGCGCCGATGCCCAACTTTAACAGCGCATCAGGTGCGACCTCGTTTTTCCCTGTAGTTGTCCCGGCAGCTGCTCCGCCTTTCCTAAAACTTTACCTCTTTCACATTGTTTCAGTTTACCGCAATCATCGCCATCATGACTACCCATTTCCGCGTCAACAGGGAGCTCCCTGAACACAGGAAATTCCCTTTACGTTTACCATGAATTCTTGTGTGGCGCAGTGTTGGTCATGAGCATGTTTGGTGTCAAAGCAAAAATTCGATTCTTAAGCAAAATCGGGCCCTGCGATCCACGGGTCACTGCGTTATCATCCGAGTCCAATCATGGCGACCTGGACGGATGATCCCATCCCATTCAAAAAGGCCTTTAACAATTCAGGTAGACATGTACATGCACGCATAACGTAAGCAACGGCCGATCATCGCGTATAGGTGACGGCGGCGTCCTCCTTTGTCAAGCCGTACGCCCTCTCCTCGCATCTGTGCCTGTTTTTCAACCCTTTTTTCCTACGTGCCGTACATGCACTACTTCCCTCCCTCCCACCCTCCCTCCCCGCTCCCACCCTGCCCTACCCCCCCAGGCACGGAGGACCCGCGAGATGTTGCCGCCCGCGTGGGCCGCACCACCGGCTCCGGAACCGGTCCGGTGGAGCTGAAGAGCTGGGACGCCAGGGAGGGGGGAGGGGGGACTGAGAACGACAACGAGTGCCCGGGAGGTTACTCCGGGCCACAGGTGGGCCGGTGGGTCGGTGGGTCGGTGCGCGGCGACTCCGCAACAGTGGAGTGCGGCCCAGGGCATAATCCCAAACATGTTTCAAGCCATCGAGTCATCCGACCGAGTGTGATGCCTAACCGGTCCCAACTAGAAAGTCACAGCGGCTACCAGGCGCGCATGTCCCCGACACGTGTAGCGAAAACGGCCTCTCCCGAACGGCGTCTCCTCCCCCTCCCGCCGACGAATCCAATCGATCCGACCGGTCCGAGGGCGGCGGTGAATCTCTGGGCGGCACGGTCCCCCCTCCGGCCCCTTTGTGGGAAACAGCGGCGGTGTATACTAACCAACTAACTGCCTACCAACCGATGCCATACAGTCAACCGATCACCAATCTGTAACCCTCCGACCCAACCCCTCGGTAGGGTGGGGCCTCGGCCTCGGGTTACGGAAGGGGAGTTACCTACCGAGGCCGTTACCCCACCGGTGGGTCAGCCTACCGAACCCTACCGACAGGCTACTGGGACGAGCAGACCAGTCCTCTCGCCCCCCTCAACCCTAGCTCCGGAAAATCTTCCGACCATTTACTTTCTTCTCAACAAACACTCCCACACACACCCATGGGTTTTAACTTGAGCCAGCTACACTGCAGTGCGTGCTGTGCCGCAACTACACAGAGGATTCCACATGACGTGGGCCCCCCCCCCCACACACACGCGGTGTCAGCAGCCCCCCGGATGACGACACCCGCCGCGTCCTGCAGGAGCAACTGGCCAGTGGTGGCGCAGCGGGGCAGACGGAGGGGCGCCGAGTGCTACAGCCGGACGTGCAGGCTGCTAGCGGAGGTAGCAGCCGCCAAGGAGGTAGCAGCAGCTGTGACGATCAGGACCGCCGTGCAGACGCCGCAGCGGCGGCGACAGCTGGACCGCTGGGTGAGTGTGTGCCATTAGTGCCAGTGCTACGCCGTGCCCATGACGCCATCAGTTGTCTCTTCTGGATGGTCCTCTCTCGCGTATCATCAGCTGCCTCCTGCTTCGCAAATCACGCAGGCAGAAGTTTAGCTTGGTCAATTTATATATATATATATATATATATATATATTGACCAAGCTAAACTTCTATATATATATATATATTTAAATATATATAATATATATATATATATTTAAATATATATATATATTTAATATGTATAATATATATATATATATATAATATGTATATGTATATGTATGTATATATATGTATATATAATTATAATATGTATAATTTTGCGATTGCCATCATGGAAGCTCACCCATGGTATTAGGGCGGGTCCGACATAAGCAGCAGCAGGTGAGCGGTGGGGACACAGCATGACTGTTGGTCGGTGCCTATCTGCCTTTCAATTTCGGCCGTGATGAGGGTTTTCCTTCTTCTTCGTCCTCTGAATCGTCAGCACGGCTTGTGCTTTGTCAGGTTCTATCCTCACGTTCCTAATTTTCCGGTATAGTTCGCTCGCTGGTGCTGGTGGTTAGGGTTTAGGGCCACTACTTCCGTACACATACCGCTGGGTATGGGTATGGTCTTGACTCACCGGTCACCGCCACTGCTCTCTTAACGTTTCTTTTCGGAATCATTTTCGCCGTGCTGGAACCTTTAGCATAGCTTCGTTGCTGCAACCTTTTAGGTTCGCAAGCATGACTTTTGCAAGCACACACTCAAGCAGAGGTAATCCGAGGGCTTACCGGTGTCCTCTATCACAGCTTAACTCTTCACGCCTCCACACTGGTACCCTACATGATCGTGGTGTGATTGTGGGACCCATCCGGTCCACTTGCTTTTGGGCCGCACTCGCTGCAACAGGTGGTCGGATGGTGGCCCCAGCTGAGGCACCTTCCCAGGGAGAGGACCTGCCACCCGGCCACGACGGCAGCGGCTCAACCCTCAAGTCCCCCGCCGACCAGGCAGATGCTTGAATGATATGTAAAAGGGTATGCCGCATCATTCTAGCGTCATGTCTATTTTGCTGTCTTCCTTTGTGTTTTATCCTGTATGTCTGTTTGTGGATCCGTATTCGGTTTTGGTGCCCAGGGGCCGCACACATCAACACCGTCACCAAACCAACGCCGGCGCCCATCTCTGCCGCCGCTACCACTATTGATCCTGGTGTGCAGGAGACTTGAAATACATAGAGCCTGCGTGTGTGCACACGACGGCATGTGTACACGTGTGATTGTGCACGACGGAAGCACGACGGGATGTCCGAGGTAGTGGGAATCGATCCGAGAGTCAAGCTGTGGTATGGCGTGGCGCGTGTCTGGACGTTAGCCAAGGGTAACAAGGTTGGCGGCGTGTGGGAAGATGTGCTTTCATTACGTACCAACATCGTTCTCCGGGGGAAACACAGGCTACAGGTTTCTGAAACTTCATATTCATGGCCCCAACATTACCACAAGCGAATGGAATTGTGAGGACATCAAGCAAACCTGTGCGTTAGGTAACTACCTAATTAACTAACTAGGGAGGGGAACGAACGACAACGAACGGGGACGTCATCATGACTCATGGTGGTGTGTAGCGGCCCATTTACATGGGCAGGAACCCCAGCAATGACGCCATGGGGGTATTGTGCGGGGCCAGCTCCAGTTCCAGGAGAATCTCTCGGAATAGCCACGGACGTGTACGGCAGATACCCTCAGTGTTTCAGTTACCTGCCCGCTATTGCACCTGCAGAACGGCACTAGGGCCGTCAAGGCCTTGGACGTTTGACAGCGAGGCGCCGGGAATTTGGACGGATGTGCCAGGCGCCGTAAGGTGTTGTTGTTCGAACTATGGACAGATGTTAGTCTGATCATATCAAGTCTGCCCAATGTTCGCGTAGTCGTGTATGTATGTATGTGTACATATACGTCGACAGTGCTCTCGTACATACTACTAGCGTGCCTTGCCATGCACGTGCACATATGTGCCGCGTTCCGATGTGCTTGTTACGTCGGTGATCGAATGTTGCTGCTGTTGCTGCTGTTGCTGCTGTTGCTGCTGTTGCCACATGCACAGTGGGCGGGGTTATGGGTGCAATTGGGAGTGGATAAAGCTGTGTGTATAATACTGTATCAACACAAAGAAGTAGGTGTAGTTGGGAATGGAGAGTATAGTTCATACATTTCTGTTAGATGCATACTTTTTCCATATGGTTAGTTCCATGCAGATAGTTGTGGGTGAACGGCGAATATCTGGTAAATGTGGGCCCATACCTTCATTTGAACCGGGCACCTATGTCCACGGTATCATCTATCTACGAAAGAGTTCTGAGCAGCAAGGTACCGTTATCATCATGATCATCAGCGAGACCGGTCTGGAGATGGAACCCTAAGGATGAAAGATGTACGTAGAGCGACTTATCTCCCTTCCCCTTCACTCCCTCTTCTCCTCGTTGTCCCGACGGCGTGCATCTCAATGCGCGTCTAAAATTTGATCACTGATTCCTCATTTATTAGTAGTTCATCGACACTTAGTTCACTTTGCCGCGGGTCAAGGACCGCCACTTAAAACACATTTAAAAAACCGCGCTCAGGATACGAGGACAGCCCCATCAGCCTCATCCCGATGCGGCACTGAAGAAGTTGGCATTGGCGGCGCCACTTGCAAGGCCTTGCATCCTCGCCAGTCGGGCAGCGACCCCAAGCCCCTGCGGCTCCCCGTCGCCATCCATGTCTTCGTCTTGCCAAGATTGCTGCATGAACAGCCCACCGACGTTGCTGCTGCCGTCTGCATGGGGCCGCCTCAGGGCCGCGATGACCTGGTCCCGGGCGGTGGTGGCGGACCGAAGTAGGGCGGCCGCGTTCTCCCGGTTTCCCAGCTGCGGCGGCCGAGTGCGAATGGAAAAGGGAGGGGCCAGGGAAGGTTCGGAGGGAAGTCAGGCGGGCGAGGCAGCTCGCCCTGTTAAAGGGAATGGAGAGGTGTCAGGAGAGGATATCCAAGTGCGAGGTGAGCGGTGAGAAATGTGGAGATAGATTAGTGGGATTGATGCGGGTGGTGAGGTCGGCGCCCCGCTGGTGAGATGCCTGCCGTGGAAACCAGCAACCCAAGTTCCAAATACGGACTGCACACCATATCGTCCTGTATGTATGTATGCACAGTACGAGGACCCCAAACCTGCCAGTTCGTTTAGGTACGGGTGAAGGACCCCAGGCGAGTGGACCCCAGGCGAGTGGAACCCAACAGAGGACAGGAGATGGGAAAGAGTCAGGCACGAATGTTAACCAACCGTTTTTCATGTCGCGGCTTCACCCTCGAGTATGTACGGTCATCCTTTTCCTCACCAATCCTTGTTCATCTTTCCTTGCTGCTACGTATCTGTGTTGCCGTTGCTGAAACAGATTTTGCTTACCGCTTGTGCCAGGCTTAGTACTCGATCCATGGCGGCTTGCAGGTTGCCGCTCGTGCCCAGAGACGCCTGCGACCCGGTCAGTCAGTCGGCGGACCAGGGGCAGCGGACGAGGGTGCGGTGCTTCGGCGAGGGTGTGTACGAGAGTGGTTTCGGGGCAGGGTGAACATCATGGAGGCAGCAGGGTGCGTGGACACAGTACCTCAATGGGGCGTCGGAGATCATCTACGAACTGGGTATGACGATGGAGTGGATGTGTGTAGGGGTTTTATTCATTACAGCAAGGTGGATTGGGGGGTAGCTGGAGTGTGATGTCGGGAGTGTGCGGTAGTCCTTTGTGATGTTGGGCTTGGGTAATGTGTCGTTGCCGTGAAGCTTACCTCGAATGAGAAGGAAGGTGTGATGGTGAAGCGGTTACGCTCGTCGTTGGCGTACGTGAAGAGGATGTCGTTGAGGGCATTGTAGAAGGACCTGTGTTGGGTATGCGAGGAGTTAGGGGTTTAGGGTTCTGCGGTATCTGCGCAGGAGCGGTGCGTGCGTGTGCCGTATCCCATGACATTCAACTAAATGAAGATGTGAGGGGGGGGGCCCGTGGGGAAGAGGCAAGCTGTAACCCAGCCTTTCGTTCCTAGCCAAGCGGGGACGTCACCAGGCAATAGAAATCTATATTCTTGTAGAAGTGCTCACTATATGATAAATGTAATGATAATGTATATATATATTATAATTTATAAATTTATATCATATACATTAACCGCAAATAGTTGGGGACTAGTTAGGGTGTATTTCCAGTGCGGATTAAGGCCAGGGATTAGGGCACGGAAGCCCTTGGTACGAGCTTAGCACATAGTTTCGTTCCATAAGGGAACCAGAAAGGTTGAAAAGGCGAGGTAAGTTTGCCAACAACTTAGCCGTTTGAGCAAGTATCGATGGAGGGCAGAGGGTTAATCCCTGGCCTTAATCCGCACTGGAAATACACCCTTAGCTAGCTAGCGCTAAGCCGCTCAATTACCAATTGGAAACACCCTGTAGCGACCTTCAGCTGGTCAAAGAGAACTGAGTTTGACGTGTTTGGTCGCGTATTGTTGCGTTCATATCCAGACGAGGCCGAACATCGTCATACCATCAATTATCTTCGACCAGCTGAAGGTCGCTACAGCTGTACCGGTCCCCCCCCTTCGAAAACCTGGCCACCTGGCCAGGGCTAACCTCCGTCAGGGTCCTTGGACTGCTTGTGGTAGTCTTCTATGACCACGGTGAAGGTTGCCTCCCCGATAACTGCTGTGACATCTGGGTCGGATAGCACTCTGTGAGACATAGAAGCCAGACCATTAATTCGGCATGGCTACCCACCAGCAGTGGGACGCCAGCGNNGTCTAGTCCCGGGATGAATCGGGGTGCTGGAAAATGTCGCCACAGCGCTACTGTCCGAAATGCTGTCGGTCACTCAGATGGCTTCCTTTCTGACCGCCCTCATCCAGCAAGGAGCCTGGGCAGCACCCCGATTAATCCCGGGACTAGACACCGCCGGCGTCCCACTGCTGGTGGGTAGCCACGGGTCTGGCTTCTACGTCTCACAGCACGCGTGCTATCCGAACCTGATGTTGCATTGTTATCGGGGAGGCAACCTTCACCACAGTCATAGAAGACTACCACAAGCAGTCCAAGGACCCTGACGGAGGTTAGCCCCGGCCAGGTGGCCAGGTTTTCGAAGGGGGGGGACCGGTACAGCTGTAGCGACCTTCAGCTGGTCGAAGATAATTGATGGTATGACGATGTTCGGCCTCGTCTGGATATGAACGCAACAATACGCGACCAAACACGTCAAACTCAGTTCTCTTTGACCAGCTGAAGGTCGCTACAACCCTGTTACCCACCCGCCCGCCCACCCGACGAAAACATACATATAGTACGCTAATAGCCTCAATGGACTCGTAAGAATGGAAGGAAGTGCTAAGCCGGCTGCCGCCACAATTCGTTGTATCAGGTTGTGTGCGGTGCAGCAGGTTGCACCAGGGGAACAAGGCGTAATAATACTCTTAACAAGGTTTCCGTACGGAAACCTTGTTAGGACACGTTAGAGCGTGTTCGGCCACTTACTGCTCAAACTTCTGGAGCCGAATGAAGGGTTTAAGCACCAAACCCACTAGCCGGGTCATATCCGCCAAACTGTGGACGGACAAAGGAAGGTAGTGAGGAGGGCAGGTAGGAAGGCAGGTTTAAGCAGGCAGCAGGCAGGTAGGGAGGCAGCGAGGATGAATTCCTTTCATTCCGAGTCACCAGCACGACATTACTTTAAGCGGATGATTTCGTTACCTGCACAGGTTTCGCTTTCTGCGCTATGCATGAATAGCCATTGCACATTGCCCAGTAACTCGTCAATAAAATGGGTATCACCTGTTCTTCAGATACCCACCAGCATCACGGCTATTAAAGGCTTTGGGGCAGTTTGTCAGGCCCTACCGCGTTGCGGACCGATTGCGGTCTGCAGTAGAAACGTCTCCGTACCTGTACAGCACTCGTACATACTCCAGGCCAAGGGGATCATTGCTGGATAGCAGCGCAATGAGCATCACTGTGAACCGAACCTGAAACGTAATTCACAAATAAGAGAGATTCACGAGTGAAGGTGAGCGGGGAACCCAATCTTAGGGCTAGGTGGGATGCATGCAATGTTTACTTGCGATGAGGACTATCCGACATGCCGTACAGGGCCCCCGCCCAAGCACGCGAACGGCTACTACGACTAAGCACACTGCTACTGCTTGTCTATGTTAACATCCGTCCAGGGAGGGATTCCAATGGGTTTTCGTAGGGACTTATTGACATAGTTAATCTTTCTGTGCGTGTGGGCGTGTGAACCAACACCGCGGCCGATGCTGATCACCGCTAGGATTAGCCATGAGGCTACACAAGAGCCTTGGTCCGCTCCTCCTACCCAAGGCGACCAAGGCTCTTGGGCCGCTCCTCCTACCCCCGGGCCCTAGGGGCTTCTCAGATGCGCACCTGGTAACCGTAATAGTACGACAGCCAGGAGCTGGCTGCGCCAGTCAGGAAGGCAACGTAACTCTCCTGCGTTGGACCCGGGCGCGGAGCCCGGGGGCAGGGGGAAACGGCACGCATGGTGTTGTTGAAATGATCTACTTTCGTTGGCGGCGCTGTCCACTATATGGTAATTGCCGTCGCCGCCACCACCCCTGCTGTTGCGGGTGACTTTTGTCAAAGCTCGCTCTTGGCATATCCTTGATGCAGATTAGGCAGGGTCAGCAGCTCCTTGAGGTGGCGAAATGAAGTTATTACTGGTGGATTGGAATATCTCCAGTTGCCTGAAGAAGCACCTCCTCCCCGACCACAAATCGATCAACGCCCGCACGCACCATTCGAGCGCCTATGTCCTCCAGGCAAGCACGCACGATAACAAGAACCTGCGGAGGATGTGTATATGGGGGATGTAAGCAATCGGTACATGGGAACGGGTCTGGGTAAAACAGGGCACATGTCGCCATTTTGAAAAAAGACGCTTTAAGCACACGCTTTGAGTCCGCGTGGACTTAATCAGGCAATGCAGAGGGTTCCTGTTCAGTGGCTCTACCTTGACCACGTGTCTAACGCTATTAGGAACAAGCTGACATACTGGCAGCCGTCCAGAAACCCATACGCAGCCATGCTACCCCATTCACCCTCACCATCAGCGCCAATTGGCGGGGAGTTTGCAAACTCCCCCGTGACAAATCCGCTATATTCTTATCTTTTATGCAACCGTGCCTGTGAACCCCCCAAAACGTTAATTCTTATCCCCCCGATCTCTTTCTTTTACAATCCCTTCCTGCTCTGCGTCTTTCCTGCTTCGCTCTTACCCGCACTTCCCGCTCCAGCGCCGCCACCAAATTGTCCACGTTGCCGTCAGTCAGGGCCTCCGCAACCCGTCCCACGTATTCCTCGTAGCGCTCGAGCTCCGCATCAATATTTCGAATCGCCCTGACGCCACGCTTATCAGGTTTTTGGAAATGGGCGAGCATCATGACGACGTGGGTGAGATGTGGGTTCGGCATCGCAGTTTGGAATCATGGCATGAAAGGTGGTTGTTTCGAGGAAATGCTACACATAACAGGCCGCACAAGCACAATAAATTTGAGGACATCTCGACGCACAGCATCTACAGAGATCTTTTCAACAGCCACCAGTGCTATATAGCAGTTTGACTACAAGCACGACTGCTAAGATGATCGAACCGAGCCGCGCGTATTAATGTAGAAGGGGAATGTGGAACTTAGGGCATCATAACGGTCCCGCCGCCATATGCCCTGTGCACCGCCGCTTCCAAGACATGCAGTGGATGCGTAGGCCGAGTAGGGGTTTTCACAAGCGCCACGTGCAAGGAGCTAGCGTCATCTACATGGGGTTATAGGTTAATTTGTCCCAGCGATAGTGTATGCAAATACGCCGAGACCGCCAGGCACTTGAATACGGGCGTGCAAGTATGCATGGATATGTTAAACATGCCGCTCATAGGCCGAGCCGGTTCCCGCCAGGGTTCGATGCCTTCTATTTCCGCCCCAGCTCGCGGATATCCAATGGAATCCCGCTATGAAAGGCCTGAAGCCCACCTTGCAATCTGGTTCTGTACGGCAGTCTCAAACGCGTCAATGGCGGTGATGCTGAGCCGCCGCAGCGCAATGGCCACGGGGTCCTGGCCCAGGACCACGTAGTCCTCAAACGCCTGCGCGGCCGCCAGCACGGGACCGGCGCCTATGCTGGACAGCAGCCTGGCGGCCTCAGACGTGAGCCCCGGGGGACTCAGTCCGCCGGCAGCCGGAAAGCCAGGTATGAAGGTAAGTCCGGGTAGCGGGCCCGCTGGAACAGAGGCGGCACACAGAGATACATACAAACATACGCATGCATCTTGGTAAGTACTGGCGGCAGAAGGTAAAGGGTGCAGATGGGCGAGCCGGCGGAGGCCTTCATTACGCGCACATGCATGACAGGGCCAGGCCGCCGGTACCTTTGCCTTCAAATGCAGTAAGCCGAAGCAGCACAACGACCGGCGTGAGGAAATTTGGCTTTGAGAGGATCGGGCATTGCATCTGCACGGGCCAACCGGATGACCTAACCAGCGGAAGACTTGTACAAGTCATACCCCGCAATGGAGTAGCTTGCGGCCGAAAAGGCCTCTTGAGGTGCTGGCAGGGCGCTGGCAGAGCACCGTCTGTTTCTGTTAGATGTGTGTGCTGCACTGTATGATAGCTGCTAGTCGCAACGACCAAGAACAACACAATTAGGATGTTAGCTACCCGTAATACCGCTACCTGATGGCCCCGCCCAACCTGACCGTCCGGTAATAAGGTTCCCCCCACCCGCCAGGGGGACCCACCCGCGACGGAGCTAAGGAGCTTCCGAGCGGGACCGTGGTGCTCTCCGAGGGATGCCAACAGTTCGTCGTACTCCTGGGGTACGACACACCCGTACACATCCGTACACATCCGTACATCCGTAAGGAGCACTGAATAAGGGAAAACTCATGTAACGGGTATACAGGCATGCAGCGCGTACGGCGCGCACCACAATGGTTGCGGCACGCGGAGGTTTCATGTAGAGGCAAGCCGGGTAGCGGGCGCACAAAGACTGAAAGCTGGGTGCAAGCATACCACACCCAACCGCGCATTCCTCTCGTGTCCAGCCAGGACAAATAAGTAAAGACATAAAACAATAATGCATGTATGTATCTACAAGGACTTGCTCACCTTCCCGAAGCTCTCCGCTTTACTCCTTTGCTCCGGGCCCATCTGTTCGGTTCCATTGCCACCGGAGGAGCCCCCGAGTCCGCCGTACGCCTGGCCGGCCCACCAGCCTAGCCCCTGGAACGCGAACAGCGCCAGGAACGCCGCCGCCCGGAAGGAGCATCTGCTGCTGCCCACGGTTCGCATGAGCCGCTGGCGGTGATACATCGCCGCCTTCTCTTCTTCTTCGGATAGGTTAATGGGACGCGGCCTGCCGGTTAGGAAGCGAGCGATGCTGGGAGCTGCTGGGTGCGTATGGGCCAAATGAAAGGCATGCAGGCACTGCCTCAAACGTGAGATTTCTTGCCTTGCCTTGCCTTGCCTTTTGCTTTGCCTTGCTGATGAATTATTTCGGATGAACGCGCGTGAGTCGTCCTTCCTGGCTTGCAAAGTGAGCCGACAAGAAAGCACTAGAATGCACAGTAATGCACTACGTTCACAGCTGGCGTTACAATTCCCGATAATTTCCTAACATGCGTACGTACTACTTAACGAAGCAATTCAGTGCAAAAAGAAAAATACACAGTAAGGCAGCACAAAAGACCGGGACTTTTATTGGGAAGAATCTGGGATCATGGAAATCCGGTCGGGGTACTTGGCGTTCGTATCTTTACCTACCTGATACGACTTCAGTAATATTCGGCCCCTCCGGTGTTTCGGTCGAGGAACGTCATCGATGTGGCCTCTAGGTGCGTGCAACAGACACACGATGACGCTCCTGCTGTTCCGCAACATCCAACCAAAGAATACATTGATGCTCGCATCGCTTGCTGTCCTGCATTTCGGGCTGCTTCGTCCTGAAGGGGGAAGACGCCGGACCTCGAATCAGGCTTCCTAAACTAGCTCGAGTGCCATTCGTTGTCCTCGGCATTGCAGCCAGCAACTATGTTCTCTATCACAGCCTCGTTACAAGCCAATATGCAAGCAAAGCAGTTAGTCAAAACCAGGTGTATGGCTATAGATATTATTCCTACCCTTTTAGACCCTTTTTTTGCTCATCAGGTGCGTCGCAAGTTTGTAGTTCATTTGCTAAGCGAACTAAATACTAAAGAATAAATGTCGGCGACATGTGTGTTATTTTTTTCTCAGTTTTCCGCTAGCAGTGCCGAACCTACTCGCTGCTGCAGCGCCACACCCTGCTATGACCTGCTGCCAATTAGATGCCGGCGTGAATAAGGATTTTCTTTATATCATAAACCCTAAGCTGTGAACTGGTGGGATGCATGCGGCTCGCAGCCACCGCCAGCCATCTATCTAATTGCAAAAATCGAGGTAGCTAGTTTTCGAGCTAGATTGTACCGTGCTTTCATTATTATTTCTCTGTTCGGAACAGAAAAACCTGTTTCTTTTACCCAAGAGGAGATTTCCGGCTGATCAGTGAAGGTTCGCACTGTCCGCTGACTGCTCACTCATTTGCAGAAAATCAGAGTATGAGCAAAAGATTATGTCATCTGTCGTAGATTCTTAACCCGTGCTTAACAGGAAAGGGAGAACATAACTTCGTATGCCACTTGACCGTACTTGACACGGAAGCTAATCATGAGCCGAACACTCACCCACCAGACCCGCCGCCTCGCCACCCCCATGGCCTGATCAACATGATGAGTAATCCCTACTTGATGTCTTACAGCCCAAGACTTATCATTCACACCGTTTTCATCCTAGAAAATACACGAAGCCAGCGTAACAGGTAACAGGTACATACGAACATGCGTCCATGCTGTATTATTATATTCCCGTCAGCAGCAATATCCTCACGCACATTCACCAGGCGCCCTTAAACCAACTGGTCTACGTAAGCCTAACAGGCAGCTCACTGCGATAGACAGCTGCGGCGCGGTGGTCCACCAGAGCACCAACGGATCCCCGCGACGCTGCTTCCTCCCGGCTGTCACTCTAAAGCTCATTCCTGTGTGCGTGTACATGTCTAATTCTACTGCGGGTTAGCGCTAACCCGGAGTATGAGACATGCTAGCCAGCCCTGTTACATGCCATTAAGCTCGCTCGATGGGTGAGGAATACTACTGCTCCTTTGTTGCCACATATCATTTCTCCTTGCGGCCACACGAGCCATGAAGCAATCGCCTGTTCCTTGCTCACTCGTCCTTTTACTGGCTGCCGCCGCCGCCGGCCAGACGATGGGGTTCATCCTGTTCCTGGTTATCGTTCTACTCAGCCCCGAAATAACTCATAGCTCACAGGCTGGTTGTGGCATGTGGATAAAGCTGCACCACCGTCAATGATGTGGCTCTTGACGGCCGCCTCTTCCCGCCTCACCACAGATCGCGTAGGCGGCTTCTCTATGTATGCCGTCACTTATCTGGATTTGCTCACGAGCTGCTGCTGCTGCTGCTGCTGCTGCTGCTGGCTGCCGCCTGAGAAGGCTGACAACGCACTATATAGGTGTAACACACATACACACACCCCATACGCAACCCTGTATGTTGGGCACAACAGGGACCCCCTTTAGGCAACCCCCGCTGCAAAACCAGCATCGGACCATCCTTCCATCGCCCGCAACTGCCGGCCCAGCAGGCAGCCGCGCAGGTTGGGCCCGATTCTTCCGTAGTTTTAATAGATAGTAAGCAATAGGCGCGTCCAGCAGGCTAAAGGGCACCAGGCAACTGCAACACAACACGGCATGCATGCCATGGTGGTTATCCTCCACGTACTCGCCTGCAGCTGCTGCAACTCCGTCAGCTAGACTGCTCAAGATCCGCCGGCGGCGACACGGCTTCGGAGCATATCCGCCAGCCGCTGCAACGCCGGCATCTGCTGGCCTGCTGCTGCAGCGGCCGAGCGTGCTGGCATTTGCAGCGCCGCCGCCACCTGGTCACGCGCACTTCTGGCTGCAGCCAGTAGCGCATCCGCGTTACCACCAGCGCCCAGCTGCATCCGCCCAGATATACATGAGTGGTTTGCAAACAATTTAAAATGATGTTTGATCGGTGATAACACGTCAGTTGAGAGTTTTAATTTAGTTGCGGGTGGGGTTCGGCTTTCAGAACTACAATCGAAAGTTATTATGGCATCATCTGAATGTTGCTGGCCCCCCTGTTATGTTTTAACACCGGTCACGGCCCCCACAATGTGGGTGGCAAGGCTACGGCCTCCTGGCCCGAGCCCGCGACTAGATCACGTTGCACGCTTAGCTCCTAACGTCGCCGCCTGTGTAGTAGCTGTCGTACAGTACGACACAGACCATCAAGCGCATTTCCAACATCACGCAAGCCTTTTCGGCGGTCACCTACTACACTCAGGCCTCTGCCACCTCACCACTACACCACTACACCACTATCACTATTACTATAAGTACTACTGTTCTTTTTCATCCTTTTCGTCTTGGGACCTCGGTTCGTTAAGGCGGGACTATTATTCCGCTTACTGCTCTTGTAAGCAGCGGATTAACACACAGACCCACACACACCCACACACACACACACCGCACTCTACTACTGCTATTACTACTACAGCCGCACTTACCGCTTCCGCGAGTGAGGTGACTCTGTCGATCATAAACTGGATGTTCTTGCCGCTCCCGAAGCGATACTGTCCGGCAGTCCAAGACGGGATAACAATGAGGCGAAGGCGAGGTTGTTGCAACGGAGGGAGCCGTGTGCCCACCACCACGGGGAGACAGCTGCCTTACCTTAGCCTAACCCGCTCTGTGGAGATGCCGTCAAAACTAGTTCGCATGTCAGGTAAGGAAGCTTAACATGCAACAGCAAGCGGGGCTACAAAGATCCAGATCCGTCCCAATTAGATCCAGAGCGCGCAAGCTATCCTTAAGGAAATAGCCACTCGCACCCCCATGCATGCCATTGAAAAGAAGCAGAAGAAAGCGCGCAGGAACGTACCGGACATGCATAGTGTGGGCAGACCGCCCGCACGAAACGCATACCCCATTGCGCGTGGTGATGCGCACTAATATGTCGTTATAATGGTGGACGCGCACGTGCAGTCCTAACCGTCAAGTCCGTTGGACCTACCATGAGGGTGGCTACCGGTGTGATCGTCAGGCGGTTGCGTTCCCGTACATACGCCCTGAAAATGATGTTGTACAGCGTGTTGAAGAACTTCCTGCATACGGGCATGTGAGTGTTGTCAAGAGGGTGGTGGGTGAGGACGGGAGGAGAGGTTCCTGTAGTATCCTGGGTAAATCACGGGATCAGCATCCACCGATCGGTTCTTTTCCGGAAAAGTCGTGATATAACAGTTCCTATTACCCCCTTTGGACGCTAGTCTGGGCTGATGTGCGGTGTTTTCCTTTCCTCCGTGGCTTTTAGGCGTTGTAGTATTGCCCTTGGGCCTTCGGCTCGTATGGG